ATTAGAGTGAGTTAAAAAATATCCCCACTTCTGTTATATTAAAACTCCCAACAATGTCTATGGCTGATGACAACATTGAACGTGAACATGAAATGATTCTGTCAAATAGATGAGTACAGTGGCAAATCATTTGCAAATCAGACATGGCTCTGCCTGTGAAATAATCCATGACAGACTTGGGTTTCAAAAGTTTGTGTGTGATGGGCACCAAAACAACTCATGGAAGACCATAACAGAAGCATTTGGACACCTACAAACAAAATTTGGACCAATAGTCAAAAGATGAAAGTTTCTTTGAAAAAAATTGTTACTGGTGATGAGGCATGGGTTCATCACTACAAGCCTGAAAGTAAATAGCAGAATAAGGAATGGGAACATCCTCAATCACTGACCAAGAAAAATTTTCAAAAGTCAACCACTGGCTGGAAAATTGATGCTTACAATATTCTGGGATCCTCAAGGGCCAGTATTGGAACACTACAAGGAAAAATGTTCAAAAATCAATAGTCCTCATTACAGTGAGATGCTTACTGAAGAGCTGAAGCCTCACCTTCATATTAAACACAGAGGACTGTTGTGATCTTGCATGGCAATGCACATCCTCACACCTCTGTCCACACTGTTGACACTCTGCATAAACTTCATTTTGAGGTGTTAAAGCATCCTCCCTATAGTCCTGATCTCGCCTTATTATATTTTCACCTGTTTGGTCCCCTAAAGGCAGCCCTTCAAGGACTAAGATTCACCTCTGATGAAGAAGTGAAGACAGCAGTGCATTAGTGGCTTGCAGCTCAGTATAAAACATTTTTAAATAAAGGAACACAAAGCTTGTTGACTGATGGACAAAGTGCATTTAAAAAAAAAAAAGAGAGATTATGTCAAAAAAACATTGTATTTGTCTTTTCTGAAAATTGGTTAAAATAAATTCTACAGTCAGAGTACAGGTAGTTTCTTACTCACTCTTGTGTATATAGACAATGAAAACAGAAATGATAGTAATAATATCCTAAAACACAAATGAAATCACATTATTATTCAAGTAGCATTTATGGAGAAGTGAATAGTGTATTTGACATTTAAAAACAAAACCCAATGCTGTTGAGTTGATTCTGACTCAGCAAAATGTATAAAAGCCATACTTCATTATATGTGATGCTTCAAAGAATTTATAGTCTGTATTTCTGGAAAGCAAATTTACCTTTACACATATTTAAATAGTATTGGGTAGAATAAAATCCTAAGTTTAATTATAAAAATAAAAAATACATTCTAAGAAAAAATTTAAATGTTGTTAAGTGCCATCGAGTCAGTTCTGACCCATAGTGACCCTGTATACAGTTTCCTAGGAGTGTCTGGTGAGCTTGAACCAACTATCTTTCAGTTAAAATGACTTTGCAGTACAGCACATTAATTCACAGCACCACACCAGGACTCTCTCCCTCTCTCTCTCTCTCTTTTTTTTTTTTTTTTCAAATGAAGCAACAATAAATAATTTATAACCAATAACCATAAGTGTTTATGTCTTTTAATCTGAAAGCATGAAGTCCTGGTGTGGCTCTGTAGCAGCAATGGACCATAAGGTTGGCAATTCAAATCCACCAGCTACTCCTCAGAAACCGTATACAATGTCACTATGAGTCAGAATTGACTCCATGGCACTAATCAACAACAGTCTAAAATCACAGGACCTAATTGAGATGAATAATTACTGTGGCATAAGAAGTGTTTGTACTATTTCTAACAATTAAAATTTTATTTTGGTGTGTGAAACTAAAATAATAAGAGCATGATTAATACAGTTGTATATCATTAACTGATTGGCCTCTGGATTAAAACACTAATAATTACAATGACATATAATTGTTTCTTAGTGTTACTGAGTACTTGCTATGTATTATGACCATTAATCTTTGCTTTTAAAAAAAACAATTACAACCTTCCTCACTCTACCCAAAGGAGTTCTTCTGACATCAAATATCAAGGTTCTTTGGGAGGAACAGGTGGTAATAATAGTAGCCTGATGTTCTAGTTAATCCCGGTGGCTATTTATCACATTGAAGAAACAGTCATCCATGAAGAAGGTTAGGGAACTAGAATGCATTGCTGCCTCACGTTTCCAAACTCATGCACTCATTTGTGAATGCAAACATCCCTATACCACTTTTGAAAATAAAAGATTCCTAGAAATTACAATTTTTTTCTGTTTATATTTATGAATCAATTTCTGTAGTATATACTATGGAAACTACAGATGAATGCAATTCTCTTCATTTGTCTTATTAAGCATATTACCATATGTTTGCATATGGTAATCAATTTAAGCATCACCCAATTCACCCGAAAATTTTATTTCAATTCAAATTTTACCTTTTATGGTTAATCATTTTTTCAAAATTTGTATTAATTTAGGTTATTTTGATCAATTGTGTAATGGTAATATCTGAAAAGCTAATTCATTCAGGAAAATAAATCATCATGGAAAATCCTCATTATAAAATTAGTAGTTTAAAGCTTGAATTTGTATATACATTATTTATAGAAATGTATAGTAAGATAATAAAATATTCAAGAATAAACTAAATTACAATATATGAAAATTCTATAGAGAAGCTGAATGAAGGCATGAACATAAGATAAACGTAAGTAGCAACATTTTTGACTGTTAAATAATCTTTTCAAATAATTTGAAATTGAGTGATGCTGTAATTTTTAGATGCTATGGAATACTTTTGAAACAGGGACTTACTTAATCTTCATATTTTACAATGTAAATATTTGCAATACACCAAAAATGAATAATTATTTAAATTTATGAGACAAATGTTTAAATGTTAACTTTAAAGTATGCAAAAAATAGATCATTTTTTAAAATTCCTTCAAGGTTTCATAAAAGACAAAAATGTTTGAAGTCATTGACATTCTATTCATGGATCAGGATCTTCAGTTACTTCATCAGTCATGAAATGCTCACAGTTAATTCTAGTCAGGGCAAGGATATACGGAAAAAGTAATAGCTTCCATACAAAAATCAAAATGTAAAACATTGTGGTATTAGATGTTAGGCCTTATAAACTGCATCACCCATAAATTCAGTGAATTTTGTGTATTCTACTGAATACTATTTCATCTGCTTTAGTAAGTAACATACTGTATTTATTGACGACAGCAACATAAACACTAATGTTGTTCTCTAGACTAGCAGTCCCCAGACATTTTAAACTATATGTAAGCACATTTTGGAGTCCTGGTGTGGAGCTTTGCATTAATGCGCCAGACTGCAAAGTTGTGTGAATCTCAAGATCGGTAGTTCAAACTCACCATTTGCTCCTTGGAAATCCTATACGGGGTTACTATGGGTCGGAATCAACTTGACGGCACTTAACAACAACAACAATCACATTTTGGACATAAAAAACTAAAGTGGAAAACTTTCGTGTAACAAAGATGTGGGACTAAGTTCATTGAAAGGGCTAAAGGAATTAAGATGATCCCACAGGACAGATATTGAAATCACTGCTCTCATTGATTATATCTTATAACAAGGTACAACGAATCAATGCTCACCTCAGAAGCAATATGTATCCAGGTATGCCACCTAGGGATAAAGTGTAAGATGTGATGACTGAAATTACAAGGAAATACAGAAACATTTTGGAACATCCATTATCTTTTGGGCATCTGCCCACCATGCCTGAGGAATTTCCTGATTTAGATGGTACAATTCCCACACAGGTGCAGTTGTAAAATATCTGTAACACAATTGGAAAACATACAATTATTGAGGGAGTAGTTAAATAAAATCAGAGATAAATATCTATTAAAAGATTCATTGTATATAGTGCAAGCATTTCATAAATCAATGGGGAAATGTTTTCATACTCTCCTTTGTTAGGACATATACAGCAAAGTGAAATCTATACAGAAACATTTACGTTTACTATCCAAAGAGCATATGGTTGGTATCCAGACTACTGAATCTATAGGAATAATCACTCAGTAAATCCTCCCAAATCCAACCAGACTTTATTTTTTTCATTACCACAAGCAAAACTAAACCATCCTTATTTATTGCCTTAATTACAACTATTATCTCTTCATGTTTAACCTTTTCCAATTCATATTTAGCTATAGTCTGTCTTCATATAGTAATCAAATTAAATATTTGAAAATTTTCAGTCAGATTGTGTGACTATCCTCAAACTTCCAATAGCTTCCCATTATGTTTAGTATAAATCTCAAATTTTAATAGTGGCTTACAAACTCATCATGATGTTGCTTTTGGATTCCACTCTGAGATCATTGCTAAATACTCTTCCCCCTCTAACTCTGCTCAGTTACATATGTGAGTTCTCATTTTATCCTAGTCAGTCTCACACATTCCACAGCTGCTCGGGCTTCATGGCATTATATAAGCTCTTCTTTTAGATAGCCGCACAGTTGGTACCCACACTGCAAGTCTCTTTATTCAGGTATTTCATTAGAAAAGTGTTCCATGAACTCCTATTTAAAATAAGATCCACTGATTTATTTTTCTTCACAGTGTTTATCACTACTTGCCATGATATTATATACTCAGTTATAATTAAACTCTATTTCCCCACTAGAATGTGACTTCCAAGAAGGCAGAAACTATCTGATTTGTCATCATTGTATATCTAGAACATGAAATAATATCTGGCACATTTTAGGCAATCAACCCCAATATGTAATTTGTTAAATTTGGCTTAATTGTGTTAAAAATGGGCACAATTCAAAGATAGGACAGTATTTTTAGTGACCTCCAGAAAAATTAAACTATATTTTGAATAAAGAGAAAGGCAATATCTTCAGTTTCTTTCTATAAACTTTATATATGCATGTGCATATATGATAAATTGTCATTTTCATCACAGAAGAGTTTGTCAGTTTTAAAATAAATAATAAAATAGAACTGGCATTTCCTTTTCCAGAAAGAGGAGCAATATATAAAAGATTATTTTTATGGCTTATCAGAAAAAAAAAAAACACCTTGTAAATCTTAAACATCACTTACTAGATTAATGTGAGTTTAGAGCAAGTTTCTCATAGCCCAGAGACAATAAATAGAGTGAAAGCATTAATTTCTGTGTGCAGATGTATTTAATAAGCATTCCTATTTACCTGATAAGCACATGTAAACTCTATTTACAGTCTAGTTTACAGCCCCTCAGAACTGTCAAATAAAGGTGGGTTTCTCATCAGTCACAATTAGAAAGTGGTCTGACAGCTGTGTCCAAGAGTATATGTTTGGGACAAGAACATAAAGTTGTGATTAGTGAGGTGAGTCTGTGAATGACTGATATATAAGGTCCTTCTCAGCTGGTTTCCTACCTATATTTCCAATCTAACTGCCTTCCATTCCCAGCTATCTGCTTCTTCATTATTTCACAAAATAGCTGCATTTCTCAGACTCAGAACCTTTAATCTTACAAGAAGGTTCCTTGCACCTGACTCCTTACACTGGTCTTTATTTGTCCTGGTCCTTAACCTCTGAGAACCATACATAGGTCTTAGGGTCAGGAGATGCAGGTCCCAACACAGATCTTAGTTTGTTATCTTATGCATGGCACTTCTTCATCTTCAGGTTCATATGCCTTATAAATGAAATGAAAGAATAAAACCAGAAAATTACAAAAGCTCCTTCTAGTTTGTCATTCTAATTCTTACCCCAATCATTTCAACAATTCTAATTCCACTAGTAATGGTTATACATTTCATGATTCCACACAAAAGCACAAGAGTAGGGTAAGAACAAAGACTCCTACAAGCATTCATCTACTTGTAGGTTAGCTCCCAACTCCCCATAAAGTTGTATATGTATATATTATAACATGCCTCTGGACATGGACTTTATAGGAGAAGATATCTTACAATATTTTGTCCATTCTTGGTTAATGTTTGACAACCAGCAAGACATGCCGATGCATACGTGATTCCATTTTCACCACACATAGGTTCCCATTTTGTCTCTGAACATTTGCATCTTGAATTGCAATCTGTAAAAAGTGCTCGCTCATGATAGGAGATAAATTTGTTCCTGAAAAGAAATGTTACAATATACATTATTAATGCTTAGCAGATAGCGCTCTGATATATATATTTTTTTAATTCTGTTTTTAAGTGGAGTGATGTAAGTGGCATTGCCAATAATGATTTTATTTTGGAAACACAATGAACATTAGAAAACACTTAAAGAAATGCCAGCTTCTACTATTTAATACATGTGGATTATAAAAGAACTTTCTTTATAAAGTTTTCTTTGAATTTTTACAACTTTATACAATATCCAGTTCTTAGATTGTGACTTTTAATACAGTCCACCGCCTTTAAGACATTCTGAAATATTCTATGCAAATGTATGTAAAATAAGGCAAAGTTTTGGAGTAGTGACATTACATAAATACTCTACTGGAATATACATTCTGTTGTTGTTGTTGTTGTTAAGTGCCTTAAAGTCGGTTCCGACCCATAGCGACCCTGTACAGGGTTTCCGAGGGTGTAAATCCTTACGGGAGTAGAAAGCCTCGTCTTTCTCCCGCGGAGTAGCTGGTAGTTTCGAACCGCTGACCTTAAGGTTCGCAGCCCGATTCGTAACCACTAGGCTACCAGAGTTAGGGCAAGAATAAATCATTGGTTCACTTCCATTACCTCTAGCACTAAGAACAAGGTCTGGCACATAGTAGTCTGAGAATCAGAATTTCTGGCAAATCACTCAATCAAACAATAGTTTTCTATTTTGGAGGAAGAATCTGTTATTTTGTCCCTTAATTCTGATGGTTATTTCCTGTATTGGTTTAAATCACAATTTCTAATCAATAAATATTTCAGCTTGTAGGAGAGCAGCTATCAGTTAGGTCACTGCTATGGTATAAATTAAGTCCCCCCAAAATATGTGTTGTAAATCCTAATGTCTACTGGACTGCTAATCACAAGTTACCCTGAATACCTCCCACATGAATTTAGAGACCATCTCAAGAACAGATGGAATGCATAGACTCTAATGAAAGAGGACCAGGAGAGTTATGGGAAGGTATCAAGAACATCATACAGGAAGAAAGAAAAAGGTCATTGAAAAGACAAGAAAGAAAGAAAAGACCAAAATAAATGTTAGAAGAGATTTGCTCTAAAGTGTAAATAAGCTAAAATGAATGGAAGAAATGAAGAAGTAAAAAAGACAAATAGAAAACTTCAAAGGGCAGTTCAAGAAGACAAAGTCAAGTATTATAATGAACTGTGCAAAGACTTGGACATAGAAAACCAAAAGGAAAGAACACACTCAATGTTTTTCAAGCTGAAAAAACTGAAGAAAAAATTCAAGCCTCAAGTTACAATATTGAAGAATTCTACGGGCAAAATATTGAATGATGCATCAAAAGAAGGTGTAAATTATACACCGAGTCGCTGTACCAAAAAGAAATCGTTAACGATAAACAAGTTCAAGGTGGCATATAATCAAGAACTGATGGTACTGAAGGAAGAAGCTGTAAGAAATCATTGGTGAAAATTAAGTTTCCAGGAATTGAAAGAATACAAAATGAATTATTTCAACAGATGCAGCATTGGAGGCACTCACTCATTTAAGTCAAGAAATTTGGAAGATAGCTTTGTGGACAACTGATTGGAAGAGGTTCATATTTGTGCCCATTCCTAAGAGAGGTGCCCCAACAAAATGCAGAAGTCATTGAACAACATCATTAATATCACATACAAGAAAAACTTTGCTGTAGATAATTTTCAAATGGATGCAACAGTACATTGACAAAGAACTGCCAGAAATTCAAGCCATATTCAGAAAAGGACATAAATCTAGGGAAATCATTGTTGATGCATGATGACTTTTGGCTGAAAACAGAGAATAACAGACAGATGTTTACTTGTGCTTTATTGACTATGCAAAGCCATTCAACTGTGTAGATTATTACAAACTATGGATAACATTGTGAAGAATGGGTATTCCAGAAAACTTAATTGTGCTCATTAGGAACCTGCTGTTGGAACAGAACAAAGGAACATTTAAATGGTTTTAAGTCAGGAAAGCTGTGTTCCAGGGTTGTATTCTTATACCACACTTACTCAATCTGTATGCTGAGTAAATAATCTGAGAAGATGAATTATATGAAGAAGAACATGGCATCAGGATTGGAGAAAAACTCGTTAACAACTGGTGATATACAGATGATATAACCTTGCTTGCTGAAAGTGAAGAGGACTTAAATGCTTACTGATGGAGATCAAAGACCACAGCCTTCAGTATGGATTACACTTCAATATAAGGAAAACACAAACCCTCACAACTGGACAAATATTTAACATCATGATTAATGGAGTAAAGATAAAAATTGTCAAAAACTTCATTTTACTTGTATCCACCGTCACCATTCATGTAAGCAGCAGTCAAGAAGTCAACTGACATAGTGCATTAGGCAAATTTGCTGCATAAAATTTGTTTAAAGTGTTAAAGAACAAAGATACAATTTGAGGACTAAGGTGCATCTGAACCAAGTCATGGTATTTTCCATAGTCTCATATGCATAGAAAAGCTGGAAAATGAATAAGGAAGACCCTACATAGAAAAACTGATGTATTTAAGTTACTGCATTGGAGAAGAATATTGAGAATACTATGAACTGATAGAAGAACAAACAAATCTGTATTAGAAAAGTACAGGAAAAATGGCCCTTAGAAGTCAGAATGGTGAGACTTCATCTGCCATACTTTGGACATGTTATCTAGAAGGACCAGTACCTAGAGAAGGGCATCATGCTTGGTAACATGGAGAGTCAGCACAAAAAAAAAAAAAAAAAAAAGATGATCCTCAATTAGATGATTTGCCACAGTAACAGTAGCAATGGGCTCAAGCATACCAATTGTGAGGATGGCAAAGGACGGGGAGTGTTTCATTCTCTTGTGCATAGGGTGCTGTGACTAGGAACCTTCTAGATTACTTAATTCTATTCTCTTTTAGAAACTACTAATCGTTACCTAATCTTAACTAAGACTCTATAGATACAGTAGGGTTGAGTTCCTGTGCTGAAAGGGACATTGGGATAACCTAGACCAATCTTTCATTTGGCATATCAGAAAAGTCAGATCCCATGACAGTATGCAAGTTGTTCAAATGCATACCATTTAATTAGAACCTTTTCAGTCATGTTGACTATAATTTTATTGTCTCACATCAGGTTTTTCTTCATTATTGAGAAAGTTTCCTTTCATTGGCATAACTGAAGCTTGTCTGTAGTGTTTTTCATTGAATGTCTAGAATCAATATCCAGAATCAAATAGTTTTGTGGAGGAAAGCAACTCAGGACAATCCCTGGAGCACTTTCAGTGTTTTATAAAACCAAAGATTTTGTATTATTCAAAGTGAGTTAATTTTATTATCTAGAGGGTCTTGAAGGAATGTTGGTGGTTGTGGTACCTTAAATTTACTTGATAGGCTTTTTGATCCAACGTTCTTTTAATTCCCACCAAGGAGCCTTGGAAACCCTATACAGGGTTGATATGGGTCAAAATCAACTCAACAGCACTTAACAACAACAACAACCCAGTCACTTGGTGGGATGCAAGTGAAATAATGCCAGTTAAGATATTGTATAAACTGCAAAACAAAAATAATCTACCACTGTCAACCTACCATAGGTGAGTTATAGATGCAAAGTGTCTACTTTCTCCAGAAACTATTTGTACTTCATGATTACAACTAATATTTTCAATCTATATTACTAGCATTAAGCAACAACAGATAGATAGCAAACTGTCTGTGGGAACTTGTGTTCAGAGGTAGAATGATGGAAAGGTCTCTTGAAAGGGAAGAAAGAAAGTGGTTCTGAAACATTTCATTTTATATTAAGAGAGATAGACTCTGAAAACCCCGAAATATAGTCACACACTCTATATGAGATGGCATAAACAAATATTCTCTTGACCAACCTGTAGGGCACTCAGTTAAAGAGAGCTGTCATGTGGGCCACTTTGGAAACTTAATTTATCCTGAAACTACATATGATTTAAGTACATCAGGGACAATGGAGAATGCCACAGAGGTCTCTCTGGCGATCCAAGTGTTAAACAAACAGACAAATAATTTTTCCCATAAATGGAGCACCATTTTGTGTCAGGAAAATACAAATAACTTTCATGTACCTTATCTTACGTAAGTCTTTCAAAATCTTGAAAATCAACCTGAAAATTGAGACTGTACTGAGTTAAATAATATATTGAATACTGCCCATCTAGTTAAGATTGACAGAGGTAAAATCAAGGGTGTATATTTTCTACTGTTCTGGCATGGCACTGTAGAATAAGCATTAAACCACAAGGTTGGTTTCAACTGCAAGGTTGATGGTTCAAATCCACTAGCCACTCCTCAGAGTTACTATGGGTCAGAACCGATTTGACGGCACTTAGCAACAACAATAATTTTTGACCACCTAAAATGATAAGGTTGATTTTGGAAAGTAAATGTAGGTTAGCATTTGCTGTATCTTTCTAAGGCATATTCAGATTTAAAGGAGATGACAAATTTTGACTATACTAAAAGATCTCAAGCCATAAATATTGTCACTTACTCCACATTAAAACAATAATTTCTTCCCCATAGTTTTGAAATTTAAAAAGAAATTTATCTTATTTCCAAACTATACCAATAATTCACTTGATTAAAAAAGTCAATCTCTTCAAATTATGTTAGGAGTAAACATACCCTTGGTAGGAAACAGTTAATCCTGCCACATCAGAATTTTCACAGCCCAAGGCAAACAGGGAAAGGTATAGGAGATAACCAAAAACAGATGATCCCAAGTAGAGTTTCGCAGCTCCACACACACTGATTCTGAACTTTTTCATAACTATTCCCCCAGAGAATATTCCAAGAGCCACTGCAGGTATGTTGATGAGCCCTGAGGAACAAGAAAATAATACTGTGGTATAAATGTCTAAAACTGTGATAAACTCTGAAATCTTTGTTATCATTTTCCCTGTGGTTATGCAAAATACTACAATGGTAACTGGTGAATTATTAGACTAATTTGTCATTTTAAGTTGTAAAAGTATTCAGTCACTATCATTTACTGGCACTTGGGAATATTTTCCTATAACTTTGATATGTAAATGTGCCCTAAATTAATGATAGCTCAAGTGGACAGTCAAGAATTTTGCCTAGCACAAAGTCTAGCACAAGTCAGGAAATCAATAAATACTGACAGAATGAATGAATGAAGCCATTTTAGTCCAATTCCAGGAATGACAGTTACAACTTGATAACATTCACATAGCTATCATTTTTATTCAAGGTTGTACATAGAATACTAGGAACATGGAATACAGGGAATTTTAAAAAACAGCCTTGATTTCTCTTCCTGAATTAGAATTTTTTAAATATTCATTTTGTTGTTGTTGTTGACCTAGATTTTTAATTTAATAAAAACAACAAAAACTTAAATTTATTGTTTTTTCTTTAATACTTCTATGGAGTATTTTGGTTGTATTTCTTCCAACATAGATATGTTTGCTCTTCTGGCAGTTCATGATGCTTTTAATATGCTTCTCCAACTGCATAATTCAAATGCATTGATTCTTCTACAGTCTTCCTTATATATTGTCCAACTTACACATGCATATGAGGTGATTGAATATACCATAGTTTGGGTTAGGCAAATTTTAGTTTTCAAACTGAATAGCTTTGCTCTTGAATACTTTAAAGAGGTCTTGTGTTTGATTTTGTGAGTGCTGTTTCCATGAGTGCTGATTGTAAATCCAAGTGAAATGAAGTATTTGACAAATTCAATATTTTTTCCATTTAGCATGATGATATTTATTGGTTCAGTTGTGAGGAATTTTGTTTTCTTTACATGGAAGTGTAATCTATACTGAAGGCTGTAGTCTTCAATCATTATCAGCAATTATTTTAAGTATTCTTATTCAACAAGCAAGGCTGTATCATCTGCATATTGCAGGTTGTTAAATGAGTCTTCCTCCAATTCTGGTGCCATGCTCTTCTTCATTTAATCCAATTTCTTGGATTATTTGCTCAGCATACAGATTGAATAAGCACAGTGAAAGGATACAACCCTGGTGCACACCTTTCCTGATTTTAAACCATTAAATATCTCCTGTTCTGTCCTAACAACTGCCTCTTTTTCTATGTACAGGTTCCTCATGAGAACAATTAAGTTTCTGGAATACCCATTCTTCACAGTGTTATCCATAGTGTACCATGATCTACAAAGTTGAAAGCCTTTGCATACTCAATAAAGAACAGGTGAACATCTTTCTGCTATCCTCTGTTTTCAGCCAAGATTCATCATGCATCAGCAATGACATCACTAGTTCCATGTCCTCTTCTGAATCTGGCTTGGATTTCTGACAATTCTCTGTCATCGTGCTGTTGCAACTGTTTTTGAGTTCTATTCATCAAAATTTTATTTGCATGTGAGATTAATGGTATTCTTTGAAGATTTTAGCATTCTGTTGGGTCACCTCTCTTTGGAATTGGCACAACTATGGATCTCTTCTCTTGGCTTAGATGAGTGAGAGCCTCCAAAGCTGTTCTGTTTTTTGAAACATTTCAATTTGTATTCTGTCAATTCCTGGAGCCTTGTTTTTTGCAATATCATCAAGTTCTGCTTGGACATCTTCCTTCAGGATATCTACCATTTTCTTGATCATATGCTACCTCTTGAAATGGTGGAACATAGACCAATTTTTCTTGGTACAGTGACTCTGTATCTCCCTTTCATTTTCTTTTGATGCTTTAGGCATCATTTAATGTTTTGCCCATGGAATTGTTGTCAGCTTGATAAATGCTGAGTGTGTTCTTCCCTTTGGATACTCTAAGTCTTTGCACATTTCCTTATAATACTTGACTTTATCTTCTATAGCTGCCCTTTGAAAATTTCTGTTCAGTTCTTTCACCAGTTCATTTCTTCTATTTTCTTTTGCTTCTCTGCACTCAAGAGCAAGCTTCTGAATTTCTTTAGACACCCATTTGGCTGTTCCTTTCTTTCTTGTTTTTTTAATGACCTTTTATCTTCTTCTTGTATGATGTTCTTTATGTCATCCCACAACTCTTCGCGTCTTGAGCCTTTAACATCTAATGCATCAAATCTGTTGTTGATATAGTCTCTAAATTCAGGCAGGATATACTCAAGGTTATATTTTGTCTCCCATTGACTTGTGTTTCTTTTCTTCTACTAACTGTAGGAGCAATTGATGGTCTGTTCTGCAGTCTGCCAATGACCTTGTTTTGGCTGATACTGAGCTTCTTCATCGTCTCTTTCCACAGATGTAGTCAATGTGAATTCTATATATTCCATCAGGTTAAGTCCATGTTTATAGTCACCTTTTATGTTGTTTTTTTAAAAAGTATTTGAAATGAATAAGTTGTTGGTCTTGCAAAATTCTATCATGGTCTCCAGTATAATTTCAACCTTCCATGCCATAATTTCCAACTACTGATCCCTCTACTTTGTTTTCAGTCTTAGCATTCCAATCACCATTAATATTGGATGCATTTTAATTGCATGCTTGATCAATCTTAGACTGAACAAGTTAGTAGGCTTCTTCAATTTCATCATCACTGGTTTTAGTAGGTGGTATGTAAATTTGAATAATAGTGTTTTTTACTGGTCTTCCTTGTTGATGTTGCTGTTGTTAAGTGCTGTTGAGTCAGTTCTGACCCATAGGAACCCTTTTAGGGTTTCCAAATAGCACTGATGAAGGTTGATGATTGTGTGCCATGGAGTCAGTATCGATTCATAGCAATCCTGTGTAGGATTTCTGAGGCTGTAAATCTTTATGGAAGCAGAAAGTCTTTTCTTTCTCCCATGAAGCAGTTGGTAATTTTGAACTGCTGACCCTAAGGTTAGTAGCCCAACTTGTAACCACTACACTACCAGTGCTCCTTAAATAGAAGGGGTGTTGTTGTTGTTAAGTGCTGTTGAGTCAGTTCCTACCCATAGCCACTCTATATAGGGTTTCTGAACAGCAGCTGGTGAATTTGAACCGCTGACCTTGTGGTTCAAATCAACTTTGCAGGACAGCACATTAACTCACAGTGCTACACCAGGACTCCAAATAGGAGGGATAGGTGTTAGCAATT